TTTACCATTTTCAACATATGTGAGAGTGTAAGTTTATTTAGATACAAGTGCACATAAAAAACACGTACACAAAGTTATCATACATAGTAACATGTGCAAATTTTCTAAGATTAACCCAAATAAAGTCAGATAAAGTGACGTATTTCCAAATGGGGGTACACTAAAGAGTTTTGTTGACATAAAGAAAGGAGCCTCAGTGGAAAGGACCCCAAAAGGAAAGGACCCCAATGGAGAGGACCCAATGGAGAGGACCCCAATGGAGAGGACCCCAATGGAAGACCCCAATGGAGAGGACCCCAATGGACAGGACCCCAATGGAGAGGACCCCAGTGGAGAGGACCCCAATGGAGAGGACCCCAGTGGAGAGGACCCCAAAGGAAATAAAACACTTTGACTTTTTTGGGTAACTGTAATTGCGTATACCTGAATAAACTTACTTAGCACTGCAGAAGGCTTAAGAAAGTTTATTTAGGCACAACTAACATAGTGTAAAATTCCCTAGGATAACCCAGAAAACTCAAAATGATACACTGTAGAGTACAGTAACAATGCTACAATGTAGAGGCTCAGGGGGAAGCAACGTATCTGACTCACCTTAACTCAGCAGTGTGGAGAAAGCAGCAGGTAGCAGCACTCTTGTATAACGGATACCTTCAGTTAAAGGTCAAAACACCTCTGTAACTCCTCCCTCTTGTTCTACAAAGAACGAAAATATTCGTTATACAACTCGTCATTCTTGTTCTGTGATTAACACTTGCACATCTCGTTGTATGTATAAGTTCTCTTAATTTCACCCGTACAACTTGAACAACGGTGTACTGTCACCTGGTGTCTTCACTGCTGACACAGCCACCAGCATCAATCCACGAAAACATTTGAAAATAATCGAATCTTATGAAATAGTATTTTTAAGTAGTGGTAAGACATGTCAACATTTTATCGTATGTCTACCTTTACTTGCAAATTACTTAATTAATATTATAACTTATTACATTGTAGATATAATCATGTCATCGGTCGCAAAAGTCACATTGTAATTTCATGATTTGTATTCCCTTGTGTCTTATATATTTCTACTTGAGTTGGCAACACCATTAAAGCTCGGAGGCCATTGGTCAGGATTTGCCAGTGCAGCCTATGACATCACAGGCCTAGGAGGCATGTGCTTTTGAAGAGTCTCTCTTAATAACATCTTTATTTACTACAAGTATATGTACAAGGTATACAGACCATAGTTAACATCAGTGACATACTACTGAGCATTTCGGGGAAATTAGGTCAGTTGTGTCCCAGGATGCGACCCACACCAGTCAACTAACGCCCAGGTACCCATTTTACTAATGGGGAACATAGACAACAGGTGGAAAGAAACACGCCCAATATTTCTACTCTGACTGGGAATCGAACCCAGGCCCTCGACGTGTGAAGCGAGAGCTTCAACCACCAGGCCACCAGAGCCAGTGCTGCGACTCTCCCAATTACGTCAACATCAGTAAGTTACTATTTGTTTTCGCATCAAGAGTTCTACCCAGTTGTGCGGATGGAAGACTAATTCAAGATTGCGTTCTTTCGAAAAAAAAAAAAAAAACTAATTTCTAACTCCAACATGAATGTGCATTTGACCCCAAAGCTATTAGAACCCATCAACCCAACACTGTATACTCACCTATTAGTACTCACCTATTTGTGGTTGCAGGGGTCGAGACATAGCTCCTGGCCTCGCCTCTTCACTGATCGCTACTAGATTCTCTCTCTCTCTGCTCCATGAGTTTCATCATACCTCGTCATTAAACTATGTATGGTTCCTGCCTCCACTACATCACTTTCCAGACTATTCGACTTCCTGACAACTCTATGACTAAAGAAATGCCTCCTAACACCTCTTTGACTCATCTGAGTGTTCAACTTCCTATTGTGACCCTTGTTTCTCTGTCCCATCTCTGGAACATCCTGTCTCTGTCCACCTTATCTATTCCTCTCAGTATTTGTATGTCGTTAAATGTCTCCCCAAACTTCCTGTTCCAGTGTCGTCACCCAATTTCCCCTTTAAACCCTTTTTTCGTATGCATTCCCCCTTTGCTCTGGAACCCGCCTTGTTGCAAACCTTTCACTTTCTTAATTTTTG